CCCCAAAACCCCAAAACCCCAAAACCCCAAAACCCCAAAACCCCAAAACCCCAAGTTGAGGGTTATGAATTGAATTTAGAAGATATTTGTAAGAGGTAGATCTCTATCACATATATTCACAAATATACCTCAACTAACAATATCCATTCAGAAACTTCTACCCCCCAAGAGCCCTAAAAATCCCTATTCTTAAAGCCCTTCATTATTTCCAGTCAAGAATAGACCAATACAGGTTAAGAACTTAACGACTAAAAGTATCACAAGGGGATGAAGTCTTGAGAAAACTGTCGATTTGGGAGACTACTCTGTCCAGTTTTTCCAGTTGGGATTTTACGAGGTCTTTTTGGCGGTTGGGGTTTATTGTGTTGTTTGAGATTTTACGGCCTTTTGGGACTTTTCGACGGAGAAATGGCTTTTTAGGGAATTTTGATGCTGAATGTTAGAAGGGTGAGAGAGGGATACCTTGGAATAGTTTTGTATTTGAGTTTTCGGTGCTGTTTAATGCTTTTTCCTTTTCTTTTTCTTTCTCCTTATTTGGAGACTTCTTCCTTCTTTTAATCTTATTCACCTGCTTTGGTTTGGTAATTAATGGAGATCTTTGTCTAACTGGAGTGCCTCCGATAGCTCTGATATTTATAGGTTTGGCAAATTTGCTTTTGATATGCTGATGTCTCGTATTATTTTGGTCACTTCCTCTCCTAAGAGTAAGCTTCATCACCTTCTTCTTAGGTTTATTTTCTAGCAAATCAAAATTTGTTGTAGTTTGGGGTTTAGTAATTGTGGTAGCTGTACCTGTCCCCACAGTGTTAATTCTTTGATACAGCTTTTTAGCATTCTTTAATCTCTCCAAACTCAAATGTTTCAGCTTTGTCTCCTTCTCTCTTGCATCGATATCCAGTTTCTTCACAAGCTCAGTGAAATGATTGGAGTAAGCTTTGGGATTATAATGATGAACAGGTGTTTCAGCTTTCCTCTTCCTTTCTAAAGATTCTACCAGCTGGAGCTTCATACTCTTGTATTTATTTTTCATGTTCGAATAGTTCTAAATTATCAACTTTAGTAAAAAGAATGATCCCGATGATATCTATTCATTCATAACTATTAATAACACAAAAGGACCATTTCAGAAGTATTGGTTATAATCTTGATTTCTTTTATTCCGGAATAAGAATTTAATATTAGGCACAAATCTAGGTGTAATAATATCTGATATTATCATAATAACCAAATCATGTCCAGCTTACCATTAATCCGCATTGGAGTGTTTCTTTCCTGTTTGATAGTCTTTAAGATTTTCTGCCTTTCCTTTATCTGAGGAAGCTCCCTATAAATTATCTTAAATAAACTATACTTTTTCTTAAACTCTTCCTCAAATCTTTGATACAAAGGAGTTTCCATATTCCTATCTACCGAAGTCGTAACAACAATATTAGGCAGCCTGGTTTGCTTTTCCTTTAACCTGAGTTTAATAATTTTCGCTCTACTTTTCCTCTGCATTTCTCTCTCCTCCTGAAGTTTTTCCTCTTGTCTCTTTTTCTCTAACTCCTCTTCTGCTTCTAATATTAATAACTTGTTCTTATGGTCTTCCATTCTTTGCAAGCGCTCGTAGCTCTGGTGGGTCAGCACCTTAAGTCTTTTGTTAAGGAAGGAGCTAGGGTGGCTGGGTGAGGACGGAGTGTTGTTTACGGATCGGTGCGGACTTGGGTTTAATATCTTCAATGCAGTATTACTTTTCATCTTTGTCACTAAAAGTATTATATTCTAACAACATTAAGGTTAAAATTTGGGGTTTTGGGGTTTTGGGGTTTTGGGGTTTTGGGG